GGTGTGTCAGCATTAATCAGCAAAGAAGGCATGCCTAAAATCACAGTCACACACACTGGACTATGGAAAAGCCAATCACCACAAAAAAGTGTGTCCTGTTGCTAAAATCTAGTAAATGCATGGGAGATTCTACCATAGAGCTTGTTTTCAATCCATGTGGAGGGAAGGGTTCGAGGGAGAGGGGCGTTATTACAGTCCACTAGTGGGGTGTCCTCTTCAGAGAGGGCGTCGTCGTACAGCAGGGCGTCGGCCGGCGTGGATGCTGCGAGGTCCAGGTAATCCTGACATGAAGAAACGAAGAAACGTGCATGACTCCAGCTGACTTGATTGGTTCTCTTTGGTGAGAACCATTTAATCAGAAAATCCCACAGATGCTGCGTAAATTGTCTTTGGCATTATATTTGGGAATATTTAACCCTTTCTTGGTCTAATTAGGTCTGTAGTTATGGGCTTTCCCTGTAGGTGGCAGTGGTCATGTAGCGGCACTGGGCCTGTGATCAAAATATTTTTTTTTTCTTAACTTTTAACCATTTCTTCTTTAACTTTTACCTGTGCTTCCGTTCAATCATTATTCAACAGATGTTTTTTTTGCTAACACTTATGATATTTTCACTCATCTAATATATTTATCCTTGTTCAACATGTAATAGAAACAGTAGGCCCTTTATGGAAAAGGAAAGAGAGATATTGTCTCTAACTTGACATTTTCTTTACTCAAGTTAAACTTTTTCAGTGCCTTTCATGCTTAGTGATCAGGTGACATGCTTAAGTCTGTGAAAGTATTTTCATGTAAATGTCAGACATTTGATCAGCAGCCCTATTTTTTTTGTCTTGATTGCTGACCGTTTTTTGACTAAAGTGAAATTCCCTTCTGCTTCTACAGGGAAGACTTCTTCTCCTTGTCCCTAAATGATCTATATTTAAACCTTTCACTCCGGTCACAGGAGCCAGAATGGAATGCTCTGTGATTACCCAGACCAAGGCCACAATTAGGAATCTTGAGGCACCAATTATGGCATCTGGAGTTGAGACACATCGTTCAGTGAAGCAGGCACAACATGCGTTTTTGTATGTGCATCTAAACAACCAGCCGTGGGTCATGATGTTATGGCATCATTTAACAGGAGTGGGCTGCTAGGAAATGCTAAACTCTGAATGTAGCGGTGTGTTCACACTGGTTCTTCTAGTGATGAGGACATTAATTAATGTTCTCCAACAAGTGACAAAGACCGTTAGAGAACTGTTAGAGAGACCCAGACTAACTACAGTAAACAGAAAAGAAGTTTAACATCTGTATATGTTTTTGTTACCTTTAGCTAAAGGTAGTTGCAGAAATAAATGAACAGTACTTCATACTTCACAGTACTACTTCATTTGCTTCAGTAGAAGTTTTGACTTTGTGGTGTTCTAATTTAAGCTCAGTTATGGCAGATATGGCACAGACCAAAGAGAGTTTGGTAATTGCAGTGTTACAGGTACGTAATTATACAAATTGGGCCGAGACAAATTCAAAAACATGGGTAAAAGTCCTGCTCTGGAACAAAACCTGACCTTATTTAACAATGTGAATGGCATTGTGTGTTTAGACAGCAACATGTATGTCGACTTTGGAGCAACCATAGGTGAGTGGATGATTGTGCTCAGGCCTAAAATCAAATCTGATTAATTTCACCAAATTATTATGATGGTCAACTTGCCATTTTGACAGCCCTAAATCTAAGTGTTCCCAGTGATACATTACTCAGTGTGGTGGGCGTAACGAACAGGGAAAAAACAGATTATTATCTCCCCCTCACTTTCCCCCCTTCCTGACAATGATTATGAATGACTCATCGTAATGTACTGTATTCACATCACCATACCCGACTTTTCACCATCATCTTTTCTAGCTCTTTGCTGATGTCTGAGAATGTGGGCCTCTTGTCTGCCTCCTGTTTCCAGCATCGAAGCATGAGGTTGTACCTGTAAAAGGGGAAAAAGTTGCAGGGTGGGAAAAAATCAGTGTAACGTTATCCTCCCTGCTCAGTCATTTTCCACTTCTACTTGGGGGCTTTGTTTGCACTGGGCTAAAATAAGAAGATGCAGAGCAACAGAGTGGAGCTCACATTTCCTCTGAGCAGTTCTCTGGTCTCTCCATTCTGTAACCGGTCTTGAGGAGGTTAAAGAGGCGTTCAGGGGCAATGCCTGGATATGGATTTCCTCCCAGCGTCACTATCTCCCACAAAAGCACACCGAAGGACCAGCTTGGGTGAAAGGAGGTAAAGAAAAAAAATTAAACGTGGGAAGACAATAAGCAAACAGCCAGTTAGCTTAGCTTAGCTGAGTGAGAAGATTTTGCCTGTCTGCTCACTTTCAAAGTCTAATCTAACAAGCATCAAGTATATTTTGCAGATGTGATAGAAGGAGTGACCATTATACTCACACATCACTCTGGGTTGTATAAATGTGATCAAACAAAGACTCTATTGCCATCCACTTAACAGGAATACGGCCCTGGAAAACAAAGAAACAGATTTCAATACATTATTTCTTGAATTTTAATAAAGCACTTAATTTAATCAATTTTCTTTTTCTATTGTGTTGATAACAATTGAGACAGTTAAGGCCCAGTATGTACGACTAACATCATTCTAATATATTTAAATTAATCTATTTTAAAGTACTGCCAGAGATGTATGCTGAGCGAAGAATGTTCAAAACTTTTTCTTTTTTACCTTGCTCCTCTTCACATATGAGTCCTCTTCATACACGTCTCTGGAAAGGCCAAAGTCAGAGATCTTCATCTTCCTCCCCTCAGCTACCAGAACATTCCGTGCAGCAAGATCCCTGTGCACAAGCTGTTGGACCGGGATGATCATTTAATTTTAACTCATGCCTCTGCCAAATGACCTAATGGCAGAGCTCAATGGCCCTTCATTTACTGTGATATTTTATGTCACCCCATACTAACGTTATGTAAGAAGTTTTATAATCATCTGTTTACAAGTAGAAAGTTCCAGAAGTAGACCAAAAGTGACTTTACTGGTTATTTTGAAAAGTCTGTATGTATGTATGAGGAAATGAGGTCACTGCTCACTGGATTTGAATCCATCCATCAATAAAACATAAACAGAGTTAATGACCTTAATGTAGGTCTAAATCATTAGAACAAGTTGTAATTATTAAGAATAACAATGCCATTTATAAGAAAATATATAAACCTGGAGAAAGTCCATAAGACAGGACTTCATTATTTCCACAGCCGACTGCACCAGTTTCTCATACAAAAGTCACTCAGCACATAATCTTCAACTGTCAATAAAAAAGTAAACAACCCTTTTTAATTGTGATGTCAGCTTCTGTGGTATTTGTGATTTAGCTAACATTGTCAGATTGCATCATTTCCATCTTTCAAGTGAAAAAATTCCCACAACCACCAACTCCACAGTGAAACGTGTCCTGAGAAAATATGAAGTGTTCCTGTGAAGTACCTTCATCTCAGCCAGGTACTGCATGCCTCTGGAGATCTGCCAAGCAAAGGAGATCAGGTCTCCCATGGTGAGCGCTCTGTCATCTGGGTTCTCCAGGTAACTGGAGTTTCTGTTGGCATCCCTGCCCATGTAGCTTGGGCCAACTTTCCGGCTCTCACGTAAAAAGTTGCGCAAAGAGCCGTACTTGGCATATTCCACGATCAGATACAATGGACCTATTCAAAGAAACGCAGTCCAGTCTCAGACTCCATATGCCACACACATGCCCTGAGTTACAATGCCAAGGCCTCACCTTCCTGGCTGCAGGCTCCGTACATCTTTATGACGTGTGGATGGTTGACTTGCTTCAGTAAAGTGAATTCTGACAGCAGGTCCCTCAGCTCGCTGTGAGAGGCGTTTTCTGTTATGGAGAAAAAGCACAGGCTGTAATGACGAAACCATTCATTTTTCCAGACATTTCTTCCTCATTTATCAACATTTCCTCCAGCCTCGTCCAGTTTCTGCCCGGCTTGTCTTACCTTTAAGCATTTTCACAGCAACAGTGGTGTAACCTGCTTTTCCTTTTAGCCTGAAAGCTGTCGCCTTGACAACTTTGCCAAATTCTCCTTCTCCTAAAGTCTTCCCAAGTACAAGGTTTTTACGAGGAAATTCCCACTTTGGATCCTCCTGTAAAAACAAGGTGACATCACTGAATGTTCAAATACAAGATAAGGAGGTGAAATATAAAAGGTTGGCTTCAGACTTCCAACTACTGATATGAGTACAGCAAGATACAATAAGATGCTCTCAGTACTTGAAAATGTAGCCCAGCTTTCACAAGGTCAACCTACAAGGTCAAAGTACTTGACAGTAATATTTGCTTACTCTATACAAATGCCTGCTTCCTCAAACACCTGTATTACCCTACTCTAAGACGATGTGACAGAGCATTTAAAATTACACATAGAGTATTTGTCTTAAAGCCTAAATGTCTTAAAGCAAAAATATAAATCTAAAAGGGAATAGAGAACAGAAATTGCATTGGGTTGAATGTGTATTTTCTTTTGAAAGTATTTGGTGACCAACAGTACCACTACGATGCATAAAAAATGGACAGATTTCTCCTTTACACAGACGTAACTCACGGGTATTTTAAAGGTGTCAGTCTCGATGGATTCCTGCGAGCCCCGGCGTACATTGTTAGCAGGGAAGCTGATTGGATAAGCCTGAGCGGGTCGACGGAAGGTCATCTCCGCTGAGGCGATTGGAGGCTTGGGCGAGTTTTTATGGTAGCGGTGAATGAAGTATGACGACAGCAAGACAGAGACGACAAAGGAGAGCAGCAGAGATGTGGCAATAATGGTCTTACACATGTCGTCACAGAGCGCCTCTGCAGGAGAACGTTACACACGGATGTCATTTTTCAAAACAGCAGCTGTCAATTTAGGTTTTTGTGAAGTGACAGGACACAAAGGGCGGTAGACACAGTGTTTCATATGATTGATGACAACTCACCCTCAATATCTTCCTTCTCACAGAAGCATCTTTCAGAGTAGCAGTAGCAGGTTCCATGTCCAGCCTTGATTCCGTTGCCCACACCTCTTTCATGGCCTCCAATGACAGTTTCCTCTTTAAAGAGGCAGAAGGTCCAAAGGTTTAGTTAATAATGTGCACTCACTTACTGTATATATATATATATATATATATATATATATTTTTTTTTTTTTCAAAAAAATGGTAAGTTTCCTACTTGTGCAGTCTTGGGGGCATATTGATGAGTCTTTGCTTTCCACAGCATCACAGTATCCATCTGGGCAGGTTCTCAGGTCAGGAGAGCAGGTTGAGTAATGTTCAGATATTCCTGAGATAACAGATTGAAACTATTACTAGACCGGCTTCACCTTAAGCAGAAATTTAAGGTTGGGTCAGGTTGATATCAGAGGTTTTTAAGAACCAACAAACTGGTGACAGAGAGACGGAGCAGCACAACCCAACTGTACATAGTATAGAAAGTGTGCTTTATATTTAACTCGCCCTCATGTCAAATATAAATGTACCTTTTAATTTTGCATTCAACTCTAAGCTACAAAGATAAAATACAAGTTCATATATTAATTAAAAAAACTGCAACCTTCTACACTACCTCTGCAGACCCCCAGGGGGCACAAGCCTCTGGGGGTCTTATTTTTAAACTACAACTAAGGTTCTTTAGTTTTCTATAGTCTGGATTTTTTATAGTCTTCTTTATATAAACATTGGAAATTACTCTTGAGTTATCAGTGATTATTATTTTAAAAAATCACCTTTTTCGGTGCCCTGCCTCCACTGACACCGCCCTGTTGTTGCTCCAATGCCTCTGCGAGACTCACAGTCTCCCCGCCTTCTGTTCTCAGCACAGGACAAAAGCTGCGGGCTCTCCCTGCTGCCCTTACGTGCTGCGTCCAACACACACCAGGAACACAAATGTTTAATAACATTTATAACAGACAGTAGGGGATGATAAAAGTGGTTACATGGAAGTAAAATACATGAAAAACTGCAAGTGTGTTGTAAAGATCTAACAATATCGGCATATCAGATATAATCAAAAAGTTAATATCAGACATCCGTAGTACAAACATTTTGACAGTTTCTGTCCATCTCACCTTCACCATCCAGTATTATGTGGATCTGCGTACTGGCCTCCTGTTCTGTGTGCTCTTCCTGAGCTACGACCATGTACTGCAGGTCCTGGCACTCAGGCCTGCGCAAAGTCTCCGAATCATTCACATAAAGTAGTCCCCACATCTCGCCAGGACCCTGAGTGATACTTATGGCATCGTAGCAGGACTGCAAGTCAGCAGAAATGTTCCTCTCTGGCACCTCAAGGCGGTACGTGACACTGAAGCCATCAAACTGCTGGCAGTTTTCCACACACACTTTGCCAACCTGAGGAAGAAGAAATGCAGCAAAGGAAATTCATCATTATCACTGGTAATTTAAAAAGTTGACTTTCCTGTAGGTGACAGTTTAAACATCAGACAGTGAATCAGCATTCAGGGGTGTTTTCACACTTAAAAAACAACAACAACAACAACTTTTTACTTAGTTTAATTTGTACTGAGTAAATTACAGGATCTAAACACATGAACTGCAGGAATATGCACAGTTGGATAGTCCAGTGACACAGCTGTTAGCATAAGACTTTGAATGACGCTTCATCTCATTTTCTACTCAGTCATACAACCACTTTGCTGAATAAAATACAGTTAGGTGTGGCCACCGGTCTTCATACCAGATGTGGGCCACTAGAGGGCTGCTATTTATTTTATTACGTGGGTCAACTGACCAGTTTATCTTGTGCAATATTGGTAAGTGTCACAGATGTTTTATTTTATTGGGACAGCACTTGGTCATCAATCATACCTGAGCATAAACAGAAGCTCTTCGCGTCAGTGTGTAGGTGTGTGTCACATTAGCAAAGCGGATGTGGACCGGTAAGACGGTGATGTTGAAGTGCAGTAACACTGTTCCCTCCAGGCCGGGGTATGTGGTGTCGTTGACCAGGTAATCCAGCTGAACTGAGCGGTTCTCATTTACATACAGGTTCCTCTTCAGGACCAGCTCTAAATTCACACAAGTAAAACCATGAATACATGTTCATAGTTCTTGAGGTTAAAAAAAAAATTGTGTTTCAGAGGCGGATGTACTTACGGTAGTCATGGACAGTCTCTCGAATCCCTCCCTGGGCAGATTTCTTTTCACTGAAGGTGCCTTTTATTTCAAATGTTTTATTTATCCACGAGTCGCCATTGAGCAAGGTCCCCACGTACTTACTGTGACTTTTGTCAATGGGATAAATGGGGGTTAAATCTCTGTCAAAGACAAACAAGGTGCCATACGAGCCTCCCTGAAGGAGAATAACAAAGACAATTAGACATCTGTCTGTGTCTGTGTCTGTGTCTGGACCTTGGGTTAATGTCGTCACCTTTGTCCGATTGAAGCTGATGACAACATCTGTTATGTCTGTTCCATTAACATAGGGTGCATTATCATCCTCATCCATGACAAACACGTCCAGCGAAGTCTCCACCTTGGTGATGACCATTTCCGTTCGGACCGTACAGACCAGCAGAAGTCTGTAGCACTCGCTCTCCTCGCGGTCCAGTGGAGCGGTGACCACCAGCTCTGTGGAGTTCTCATTTACAGCAAATGGGGCTGGACTGTCTATAGTCAAGAGGAAGTTCAAAATGAGGTGTGTTTGAGAAGCAAATTTGACCCATTTTTTACCAAATCAAGACAAGGACTTTTGCTAATAACATGAGAAAAATCTAGTATGATAAAATGCATTTAGTACAACTTACACAAAACCAAAAAAAACATCTAACAATTATATTTCCTACGTTTAGCTATGTATATGAAACATTGTATGTTTATAGGAGGGACACTGCGTGTTTCTGTCTCTGACCTGATTCCACATTGTAAGAGATGGTGTAGTTGGGACACACGTTGAGCCTGGTGAGACGTCGGAGTTGCCTGATGGCTCCGGGGAACCTGTTCTCCATGATATGAGGGTTGGCAGTGTCTCTGTGTGGAAAACAGAGTTCTTTCATATCTGTCTGAGCACACTGTGGCAGTGTGGCATTGACAAAGTCCAGGGTGATCCGTGGGGAGTTCTTGCTGACACAGTTGAGCTTCTTGGGGACATTTGGTAAAACCATGGCATGAAGGACCAACTTCTTCACAGACCGTAATCGCTGATCTGGTGAGATATCCAACCAAAAGCAAATCATGAAGTATTTTAATCAGCCACAACAGTCGCTGAGTTGTTGATATGTAAACAGTACACATTTAATAAAAAGTTAGCGACTGTAAACAAAACACACAGACGCTTGTGACTCACTCAGGGAAGTGAAGTCGCTCTCCTCCAGGGTTTTGTTCAAGTACAGTACTCCAGTGTTGATGTCCAGGTGGAACCAGGAGCTGTAGTAGGGCGGACGTCGGATAGAGCTCAGGTAGCACAGGTAGAAATGCGGCCTCTCGTAGTCATGGTCCATCATGGCGTGGACCTGGAGGATGGGTGTTCCGGCAGTTTGGCCAACGTATACTGTCTCGATGTACTCATTCTGTGGGAAGTACAACCCTGTCACTCCTGTGGAATCAAACAACGTTGGAAAAAAAGTCATTAAAAACCGAGGCAGCAGCTTCACTCTGGTTTGTGTTGTACACAGAGCCGCCATCATGGCTGTGTAAATTAAGGCCACGCACAAGCTGTGACTGAGAAGATTGTCATCCACTGTGAGCCTGATGCTAACTAGGAGTTGTGTTAACTGTTCTATGGACAATAACTACTTTGGATGTTGGTTGTCTCTATGTGTGGCCCTAGTGATAACCTGTGGACTGTCCACGCTGGGCCCCACCCTTGCTGCAGCTTCCCCATGATGGTAAAAAGGATCAAGTAGTAACAGATAAATAAATAAAAACAAAAAAGGGAAAATAAATCCTGCAAGAGACACAGAATTGTAATGTAAGTCCAACAGCAGGGGGCACTATTCAGATAATGAGCCGTGGCAAAGTGCTGCTCTGAGGTTCATTGGAAAGAAGATAGTGACTGAGAGGGTGAAATGAAAGAGGTTGTTAATGGACTTTTGATTGGTTAAGGAGGAGAAGGGTTGAAATGGTAACATTATGCAAAACATTTTGTCCTTAGACATCATGTACACATCATTCAGACAGCACAAAGATAGTGGAGGGACAACTGGTGTCTCCTTGTCCAGGCCAGGTCTCCTCCTCTCACCCCCTGTACCACAGCAGACCTAATAGCTGAGAACATCAGGCTTGATGTTACAGTCCTACTGTTCTGACCAGACTCTGACCTGGACCAGGAAAGAATAGATGGCACGTTGAGCAGTTAGGCACAAGGTAATAGGAATAGGTAATAGAAAATTAAATCTAAAAGCAGTTGGATACTGCAAAGTAACAGCCTCAACATCATTAATATGTCCATAACACATTTGACATTTACTTAAATAAGTGTTCAATACAGGCACACGATACAGGCTTCAGAGCAGGTTTACAGTTCAGTGTTTGGCCAGGGGCAACTATTTACCATGTGCACCGGAGGAACCATCAGCCTAGTTATTAGCTGATGAACTGGCTCTACCTCCTGCACCACAGCAGCCCTGATAACTGAGAAAATAATACGGCCTGACAGTACAGTCTTATTACAGGACAAGATAACAGGCGTTATCAGACATCTCTTCCTGGATATTTGATACCGGCAACAATACGTAGTCTATCATCAAACGGTCTGGACACCGAATGAAAATGAACACATACATGGAATCTGACAGGTTCCGTTTTCGTCCCTCTAATATGTTTTTCATCTGCACTTCCACGTAGCGGAAATTGAAAGGAAGGTTCGAATAACACTTACGCAGCTCCTTTAATGAATTTCTCACATGGTCAATAACATGCGGTTTCCGGTTCTCCTTGCTTTCACCTTGAGCGGCTTAATTACGAGGGAACACATGATATGTAAGGTGAATAATCGTTGACTGTCAGGATGGGGTGTGTATGTATGCATGTGGACGGACAGAATGTATATATTGTGGGTGTTGGGGTGGGAGGGTGGGGGGGTAATCCATAAAGAGCTATAGCAGACTGTGCATTTTACAGGAAAATGGAGATGTGAGTGTTCCTCCTGTAATTATAGCCCTGTTATGTTCTCTTTGACGACAGCGGGCGACCATTTAGGGAACGCACTAATGTCATTAGCAGACAGCAAAACTAGATTTTCTATTTCTGTTGGTGCAGTTGAGGCTTCAGCTCTGGTTTCAGACATTGATTTAATTTCATAGGGCTTGGATGACAGGAGGCTGAGCTGATGGATAAAATGTGGCTGTCCTTCCTGAAGGATAGAGATGGAGATGCAGACAGGGGGCCCAAGGCCTTTTTATTAAATGTGTTCCTGGGACAAGAACAAACAGTAGACCACATGACGTTGTTAATGCTGCTGGGACGCCGCTACTGAGTTTCATGACCACTAACATTATTGGGATTATTATTGAATTTAAAATCTAGTAATAATTATTTATAGTCAAGAAGAGATTCTGACCACATTTAGACACAGTTATGGTTATATGTATTTCTCCACAAAAAACTGACCTTTTTTAGCTTTCATGACTTACTTATTGACATGTATCAAAATACAAATATTACCTTTATTTGTTTAATTACTGGAACTAATACAATTAAATACCATAAAAAGCCACTTGTAACTTATTTACAATTAAGTAATTTAGTAAGTTAGTACATTTTTAAAAGTGCAAAATATTATTCAAAGTAAATGATCATTTTAAATGATTATTTTAAATGATGTTTAAAAGAGTGTTTTATAGGTCCACAAAGCAATCGTTCACTGCAGAAAATGAAACAGCACAGAAATGTAGAAATCAATCTTTGCTAAGCTGTAGACTCTATACTGTATGGAAGTAAAACAATAAATGCACATAGTCTTAATTACAGCACAGGATCCCGTCATGCGTGCATCCAAAACGGCCATTAGAGGGAGCCATTATCGTGTTGACACAGGCCCAAAGATCCGGACACAGTGAAAAACCATTCCGCGTATATTTATCATAGTCCATAATAAATCCATACTAATTCAATACGGTGCTAAAGGTTTTTTTTTTATTTCTAATTTTAATGAACTACTACATCCTAATTACCACTGGAGTTTGTTAGGTAAGGATGCAGACGATTCATCTGGAGAAATCTGACACGATACAGCTTTACATGCAGGTCTACATATGAACGGAGAAGGTGCCACGTGCATTTGAAAGCGCTGGAACAAAGCCTGAGTGTTTGGACTCCATGCAACACAATTCGTTTATATCATTCAAAATTCAATTTCTTTCCAGGACGGAGGCCAGCAGAAAGCAAGCAGTTTATATCAAAACTAATTAATTGAATGGATCAAGCAGGCCTCTGGTAGCAAATGGCATCTATTGTTACGGCTGGAGCCTTGATGACGAATTTCCAAAGCATGACTCATTACCTTCCGCAAACGGTGCACACCAGTGATGGAAAAACAGAAAGTAATGACAGCTCGCCATTTATTTACACCGTACACGGATAATCAGTTTTAAAGTAAAAAATCTGCTGCATGTGTGTCAACTAAAAGAGTTTATCTGTGACGGCTGTGATTTTTAACGTAGATGAAATCACGTTGATGTTTGGAACAGGCCGATGTGCCATAAATCAAAGTGCGCAAACATAGCCCTCATAAGCCGCCCTTTTACAGCCTTCAATCACCTATAAAACTCATGCTCCGCTGCGACGTACACGGTGCTTTCTTCAAAAGCTGGGGTAAGTAATTTGGCAAACAAAGCCAGTGTTTAAACAGGAGTACCCTTGTAGCAAGTCCATGTTGACAGTAGATATCATGTACTGCTAAGTGAAGAATAAAACTGGACCTGTACACGGCCGAAAAACAACAATAGGAAACACTCGGCCGTCTCCACCTCTCCTCAGCTTTCTCTGCTTGTTGCTCTTTCCTTGAGTTTATTGCCCTCTGTGATCGTTTTCCTCCTTTTTTTCAGCAAAGAAAGGACAAAGAGGACAAAGCCTCATCACAAAACTCAAACCATGCACTCAGACCACACCATGTCTGGAAGTGGTCGGAACTCAGAGGGTGAGACGCCCTCTCCGTCGTCCCAGACAAAGACGGGGAACTCAATTAACTGGATGCGTGCTCCGGCTGATAGATTTACCAGCTATGAGCTCATGTGCTGCAGTAACCCGTCAGCGTACTAATCTACCGCTGTGAAACAAAACATGGATCTCCCACCCAGACGGCCCCCACTGAGTGTCCCCATCAATGGCGTGGCGGGCGAGCAAAAGTGACCCTGTATGATTAATACCTTCACTAATTGTGCATGTCGACTGCAGCTCCTGTGGTGAGAGCTTAACTTCTGTCGCCCTCTGATTCCCAAGGTCAACGTGCGCTACATCAGTCCGTGGTAACGACCCATCGGAGGGGCCGTGTATCTGACAGGAGACCAATCAATAACTGTACTAATCAACAGTGATGCTGATTGTTTTCCACTGATGAGGCATACGCGGGGAGCGGCTGAAGGCTGCATCCGTGTAATCATCTCTGCTGCATGTGTTGTGGAGCTGCTTTGTTTGGCTGCATGGCAACACAATTATTACAACAACAATGAGCCTTTCATTTCACAGCCAGCTGCACTGTTTGCTCAATCAGTATTTCTAAAAATTCATTATGGAGGACATTAATTCATTTTCAACAGGTGTTTTTTTTGTGGCACAACCACGTCTAAGACCTGACATGATTGGTTAGTCAATGAGGCGGTTTTTGACAAGCTACCAAACTACTTTATTATTTGACTGATTCTTACCAGTAGTCAACTAATGACTCGTCAACTAGTCACAAAAATGATTGTTTGACGAGTTAATCAATGCTAATTAATCAATAGTTGCAACCCTAATATTTTGAAGGAGCAATTAGGTCAATTAAAGGGCCACTGTGTGAGCAATCGCACACAGGATTAATAAGAAAAGCAGCAGTTTCTGTAAAAATGTAAACAAAAGTGGGAGACTTCAATTTAATGTAATGCACTTATAGGGAAATCAATAGTATTATTTTAAAATGCAGCAGACTTGAATCATGTCCAGCCCACCTCAGGGGGAGCTGTTTGCCAGCCTTTGGATGTTTGGACACCACTGATTGATCACCAAGTCTCCCGTATGAGCAACGTGAAGGGGCACATTACACCGGTACTGTATGACCCAGTGATAGAAATACAATAAAGATCATCATAAGTCTGCAGCCTCTCCTGATTGCTGTACTTCCACAGTCATAGAAAACTTCCATCCAAGGATTCAATTAACTAAAAAGCTCTGCGTTGGGCTATAATTACACCGAGGAAAGCTAGTATCGATTATAATATTTTAAAAAATCTCCTCCTGCTGGTGTACTGCGCCAGTGCACTTCAGCTATATCATACTGCATCCAGATCTTGCACGTACTTTAAAAAGCCCTGATGGTGAAGCTTTCAGCTTCAAAACAAGGAAAGGTGTAATGAGTCATTTCCTGTCATCGATGACACAGCCATCAAACTTTTCATC